GTACTTGATCTCATAATATGAAATGATTCAAGTATTTTTATGACCAAAGGTCATAAACAGTAATATGTAAAAAAATCGATAAAATATCGTGCATGAAAAGTCGATGCGAGTCTAAATTTTTAATTGTTACTGGCCATAAAAACCGTTGCTTGGTTACTTGTTCCGCTTTAAATCTTTCGCTATGGTCTATGGTTTTGAGGTGGTCGACCTCGGTACTCTATGGGCAGTGGTCCTTGACAATGAAAAGTATAAACTCAGAGACGTCTTAACATTTTTGCTTATATGACCACTAACTGTCGATGTAATCTTCTATGTTCTACATCACTTTCAGCCAGATCTATGCGGATCTGGAGATACCTTCTAACATCCATTTCAACATTGGCATTTATTATATAATATTAGTAAGAAGTACGTTTATTTATGGCCTTGATTGGAAGTACATTGGTAGAGCCCGCTTTAACATCTTCGCACGAATTGGCCCGGCTCGCCCGGTGAAATACCACGACCACACCGAACATAGGCGTGAAGTGGAAGCAATTCTGCGTTTCGTCTGATGAGTGTGTGTCCCGGAGGCCTAATTTAGTCCTCTTTCCCTTCTCACCCTTTTTCTTATAAGGAAAGGATGGGAAGTGGAAGTGGACTTTCCGGATGAGAGGATGCATGGAAAGGGAAAATATTTTCTTTCTGTGCATCCTCTCCTCCGTCGATTGATGGTAGGCAACGCATGTGCAGTTGCGTGTGTCTATGGGCAACGGTCGCTTCGCTATTTCAGCGATTTCAGGTGGCCGCTCGCTTGTTTGCCACCTTATGATATAAAAAAAGTGGAATTTGAAGTTTGAAATTAAAAAGAAAATGCCATTTAATATTTACGTTACGAAATTACTTTAGGGTGGTTATCCCTTAGGAGTGTAATTGCTACTTTGGGAACGCAGATGGCGCTGTACATGCCTGTCCACTTGCCCTTATTTATGTTTTCTTTATTTTTAAAGGTTTTTCTAATATATTAAGTTGCTAATTATAACTAACCCACATATTTGGGAGAATGTGTGGGCAAAAATTAATAGTATTTCGACCTACCTAATACTTATGCAATCCTAGTACCTTTAGTCATCTTCAATAGTTGCCCACGCAATCTTCTGCCCACCCATGATTCGAATAGATTGAAGAATATATTCAATCAAATCTATATAATGAGGTCAAATATAAACGTGGGTTCCCATTGCCGAAACATTCGAAAAAACATATTGCTATCTCCATTTTTTTGAAGAAGAATGAAAGAGATATGATATAATCGATAAACTATTTAATTAGAATGTATCCTATGAATTTATAATAGCCTGGTACCTTTCACTAATTGTGTTTAATGTTTTTGAAAGAAAATTAAATTATTTTTTGTTTAATTTAAGGTTTGTTTCTGAGACCATATCGTCATCCCTGTCGTTATCTTTGATAAAACAGAGATAGCAATATATTTTAAACGGATATTTTAATGTCAGAAACCCACTGTAAGTAGAAGAAACACTTAAATGCTTTTAATAGATTAAAGTTCAATGATCCGATATGTCTGGATTAAGTATATTCACGGAGCGTGGTTATTTATACACGAGCCATAACGCCTGTAAACAAAGAGTATAAGCAGAATACCTCCTTCTAATTCCTCATATCCTAGTACAAGAAGTTTTCTAACCTTTAAGAGCAATCTGTTATTTACTAGATTATTTTGCCTGCGACTCCACTTGGAAAAAAACTCTGTTTTCCCGACTATGTTCTATATCTATGCCAAATTTGAGCGAGATCCATACAGCGGTTCTGGAGATACCTTCAAACATCCATCCATCCAAACATCCATCTATCCAAACATTCGCATTTATAATATTAGTAAGATTATTTAAGAAGATTTTAATACACCCCGACAATCTATTTCTGTAACACCCACGCGTTCATCCCCTAACATGTGCGGTCTCTCAAGGGGATGAAGATAATTAAGTGTGCATTGTTAAAGTATAGGGGTGGTTTTGCGCAAACCGATGTCTTATGTAGTATAAGTAGCATTAAGATTATATCAAACAATACAATTTAAAATAAACGAATTGGTAAAGAGAAAATTATGTCATGTTGTATATAAAACCTTATTAAGACAACAAAGTCTTTGACATTGACAGCCACTTGACAGCAACTAACCTTTATACATGGACAGGCTATGAGTCGTGATATTTTGTGCCTATTTGATTCCTTCTTTAGTGGCGGTGAGGATTCGAACGAAACAATTGCTGTTATTTCTAATCAATGACCTATCCATTTTAGTTTAAATTATGACCATCGGGGTCATTTTGTCGGTCTATAAACAGGATAAACATTGCTTTGATTTGCCGGAGACGCAGTTCGCCACACATCCCCTTTACAAAATAGGATGTGTAGGTATATATTACGGGCATGTGGTTATGTTCATCTAACCGTGAACATGTTTCCGCTCTTTTACTTTGAACAAAGATTGTATTAATAACTCCTGCAAACTTCTAATGTCCTGGTACTTTAAAATATAACCACCAATACACTTGTATTGAAAAACATGTTTTCTCTGTTATTTCCAACGAGAATGAAAAAGATGAGAGACTAAATCCTTTAAGCTCCTTATGGTTATAATCTCCTAGTAGCTGCATTAAAAAGAATTGAATCTAGATCTTTTTAGCTAGGCCTTCTAACAACTGTATTATAGGGCCGTTGTCTCATAGTTTGTCGCATAGCTGCTGCTCCCGTTTGAGATCTAGACCGTCATTGACGTCATCTAGGTCTAAACTTAGGATGTCTGTCGCATCAGGAAGACTTGCTGACGTCAGCAATGACATTTACCACTAGAGTACTATGTATTGCGTAACTTTACAGTGGCAACTCTATCCAAAATGTATATCTATTATCCTTTTCTGTACTCCTTGTATTTATAATAAAGTAGCTGTCGCCCGCGACTCCGTCCCCGTGGATATATAAAAAAACTTAATATAATAAGTTAAATAAAAAGCAGCTCTTCAAGGGATAAATTTGAAAAAAATGAATAAATAGTATCCTATGTCCGTCTCCTGGCTCTAAGCTACCTCCTCACCAATTTTCAGGCATATCGGTAAAGCCGTTCTTGAGTTATAAATAGTGTAACTAACACGACTTTCTTTTATATATATATACAGATTCAAAGTAATCTGCAGTATGAAAGATTTTTTTGTTTGTTTGGTGTACTTCATTTTTTAATTAACCGCAAGCGAAGTCGCGGGAATCTGCTAGTATATTAATAACTTGTGAATACTTTCTCTTCCCACAATGTGATGTTGCAAAAATATCATCTTTACTTTAAAAAAAAAAAACAATTTACTTCCGATTTACCACCCCCATCCTACCCTTAGATAACATGAGGTAAGTCATGTTGTATCCGCCGGAAATAAGCCCCCAAATCATGGCGTCCCCTACTCTTAATGCACCTGGTGTTTTACGCCCCCCTCGATAAGATCCAGTTTTGGAATTATTTTACAGTTCTTTGTATAGATTTCTTGAAATTAGATAAAAACTTTGTCATACATTTAAAATAAGATCGATTGGATTCTCCTGCGTTGATAAGATAAAGAAATAGCAACAATAAAGCTATATTATGTAGATTTACAGACGAATCTTATTTATAATCCGACAATATTTGACATGAAAACTTTTTACACAAAAAAAAAACAAATTAAAAAGATATCCGAACGTAACTGTCAAATCGAACATCATAGTTACAAGATGGCGTCTTTAAATTGGCGCTTAAAGTACAATGATAACTTCCCGCCTCGCACTGGAAGTGATTCCGGAACAAGCACGTGCGTATACAATGGGGTGTTCCTCTTGGTTGATGGAGTGTGGATAGGGTCCCATATGGGCGGACGTATTTTTTTTGTGGAGCAATGTTCTAATATAAATGGAATTGATTAGAAGACTTTGACTTGACTAGCTATCGCCCGTGACTACTGCCTTGCGGTATTATAAAAACTCAATTAGTAGTCTATGTGTTCTTCCAGACTATGTTCTACATGTATGTCAAACTAGCTGTCCGCGTCTCCGTCCGCGCGGATATATAAAGAAACTTAATTAGTATATAGCCTATGTGTTCTTTCAGACTATGTTCTATACGTATGTCAAATTTAATCGAGATCCGTTCAGCCGTTCTAGAGATATCTTCAAACACCCATCCATCCATCCACATCACATCCATCTAAACATTCGCATTTATAATATTAGTAAGATTCGGAGAGTAAAATTATAATTTAAACCGTTTGAAAAATTGGTTATTTTTCAGTATTTTAAAGTATGAACTTTTTTTTACTATACAGTAAAAATAAATTTTAAATTTAAAACGTAAGGAAAATGTCTGAACTTCAGCTAATGTAAACAATTGACGTCAAAATGTCGTCTTAACGAACAAATTCTTTTATAAACAAATAACTCTATACAAGTAACAACTATTCTCGTTTTTATCCAATTAAAACTATGAAATGTATTAAAATATAACGCGCGTACGCAAGCTGCACGCGCATCTGCCGCGCAGGTGGCCATCTTGGATCCGCCATCTTGACGTTTAGAAATAAACCGAGGGGAACAACAATGGATACGTTGTACTTAAGTTGTGTCGCGTAATACAACTTGGGTACTTCTAGATAATATTGATTTTTTTTATTTTAAAAATTTTGCGGAGTTAACAGAGACAATCGTAATTGTAGACCGTTATTTTGTTTGTCTTATCTCTTTTTATTGTAATTTTAATAAATATTTCATTCATCACAGTGTAAATTGTGGTTAAGAGTTTTATATTTATGTATTTAAACACTTTTGAAGTTAATAGGACTCGATTTGAAGAAATGGTGTGAAAACATGGCAACCCAACTTTATACGTGGAACGGAATTTTGACTACAACTTATAAATTTTTCTTTTAGTTTATTTTTCTTTATGGCCAGTTGTCTAAGCGTTAATTTCTTTGTTTCAGTACCTCGTACATCGTGCACTGGTGGCGCCCCCAACAATCTTCCACCGCTCAGCTTCCATGCGGTCCATGGCGAGAATGTCCGGATATCTCGTGATGGATCCACTGCCCGTCGTGTGGAATCATTTTGCAAAGGTGTTGCTTTCAGTGCAAGACCAGTTAGAGTTAATGAAAAAGTAAGTACTTAACACTGCATTTTTAACCAATTTTTGTTAAGAATATTGTAAAAGAGCTTGACTCTAAATTTTGTACATAAATCAATCTAAAATTTCCATTCTTTATTTTCCAGGTATGCATACGTTTCGTCGAGATTTCAAACAGCTGGAGTGGTGTCATACGCTTCGGTTTCACCACACACGATCCCACGACCCTAGCCCACGCATTACCAAAATATGCGTGCCCAGATCTCACCAATAAACCCGGCAACTGGGCCAAGGCTTTAGGCGAAAGGTTTTGCGAAAAAGACAACATATTATATTATTACGTCAACTCCGCTGGTGACGTACATTTCGGGATGAATGGAGAGGATAAAGGACTCTTCTTTTCCGGTGTTGATACGAGAAGTCCACTATGGGCACTTGTAGATGTATACGGGAATTGCACAGCGGTTCAATTTGCGGATCCAAGAGTACCGAATCAAGTCCGAAGAGCAACTCAAAGTCCAGTAGCAGAAGATGAAAGATTAGTTGGTGAAATGAGGTCTTTAAGTGTTGATGAATCATTACCACCACCAAGATATCAGAACCCATTAGTACCTCTCAGTTTACATAGAACTAAAGGAAGGAATGTCCAGTTTACAAATGATAGAGGTGTTGCAGCACGAATCGAAGCTGAATTCTGCCAAGGATATGTATTCACAGCTCGTCCAATGCGTCCAGGACAGACTATAGTTGTGCAAATATTGGCAACTGAAGCGGCGTATTCGGGCAGTCTTGCTATAGGGTTGACGTCATGTGATCCTGGTACATTACGCCCAGTAGACTTGCCTTACGACGCCGAACAGTTATTAGATCGTCCAGAGTACTGGGTTGTTAGAAAAGACGCGGCTAATGGTCTACGAAGAGGTGATGAGTTGGCTGTAACTTTGACAGTAGACGGTGAAGTACGCGTCAGTAGGAATGGATCGAATCCAGTGACGGTTATGCATGTTGACCATACGTTAAGATTGTGGGCTTTTGTTGATATTTACGGCGCTACACAAAAGATAAGGATGTTGAGTTCTCAAGTTGTGCCAGCGCAGACTCCTCCTCAGCAGTTAAGGGTCCTTGCGGGGTCAGCGGCACCGATAGCCACAGGTTCTGGAGGCACTGTCCTGGTCGTCAGTCTTCCGCCGCAAACCAACGGACAGAATATAGCGAATCAACAGGGAATGACTTTAACCAGCGCTCATTATATTGAGGTAATTTAAAACTTTTTTTTAAGGTGAATGAAATCGAAAGACATATATGTACTTATGAGGTCCTGGTACTTCTCTGTTACATTTATATTAAACTAGCTATTGCCAGCGACTTCGTCTATTCGCAGTTATAATATAAGTAAGATATACTTATGACGTCCTGGTACTTTATTTCTTTCTTTTATGTTAAACTAGCTTTTGCCCGCGACTTCGTCTGCGCGGAATTAAAGAAAAACTTTTCAAGTAGCCTATGTGTTCTTCCAGGCTATGTTCTACATGTATGTCAAATTTCATACAGCCTTTATAGATACGTAGTAGTAAACATCCATCCATTTAAACATACGTATTTATAATATTAGTTACATTAGTTTTTTTTCTTTGTTACAGCCGATACAAACATCATCACAGTTATGTCTCGCCAACTTCCAACCAATACCACCGCAAGCATCGTGCTCCCAACCACAGTCCTATCAACAGCAAAGAATTAGAACTGACGCGCAATGTTCATCAACAAGTCAAAATAACGTAAACGAACAAGTACAGATACCTAATGGACATTCAGAACCTATTAGGATGGAAAGAATACCAAATGGACCATCAACAAGTCGACAAATGCCATCATCATCACATCATCAACCGATTTACTCTGTGATCGGTGAAGGTAACCTGACAGGAACTGAATGTACTATATGTTATGAGAATCCTATTGATAGTGTGCTATATATGTGCGGTCATATGTGTATGTGTTATAGATGCGCGGTACAACAATGGAGGGGTAAAGGTGGGGGTCAATGTCCCTTGTGTAGGGCACAGATTAAAGATGTTATCCGCACTTATAAGTCTTGATGTGTTTGTGGCTGAATTTCGCGCGGGCCTTTGCCTTAGCTGTCAATGTCAGATTGACAGGTGCGCGCGTAATTGTCCGATATTTTTATGCCAAATATGTTCGGTTGATGAATGTTGAATTTGACTAATATATTCCTTGTGTAGTTGTTATTATGTAAATAATGATTGTAATTCCATTTTTATATGTGAAAATTTGTTTTTTTTTACATATAAATTTGGTAGAATTATGAATGTAGTTGGAAAAGGAAATTAATATATCTGTTTCCCGACTGTTTGCTATTGTGACATTATTTATTTCTTTTTTTATGACATTCTTTGAACTATAAAAAGGTTCTATCTAAGGAGGTTATAATTTTCTTAGGTTGCCAGTATGATATTTATGAAATAATGCGTTTTATTATCTATAATATTGTAATGAGAATATTGAAATTTGAAGAAAAATATATTGTCCATTTATGGTTATACCACAAATGTTTAATATTGTGTAATTACTACATTCAGAGTAATTTAATGGTCTCCTAAAGTCGGGAGTATGTCTCTGAGTGTGGTAGTTACCCTTAAAATGTCCAGATACCTCTTTGCAAGAATTGACTTTTGACATATGCATAATATTAAAAACGTATATAAGTTTATGATTATCTTATGTATGAATTATAATTTATGGTTTGATAAAGCGAGGCTGTAGTAATTTTTCTATTAAAATGTTAGTTATGGCAACACTAGATGGAATGTCACATAACTTTTTGACAAACGATGACATCTGATCTGACAAAGAATCATCGGATCTTTAAAGATGGTCGTTTCTTTTTAATAAATTTAACAAAAAAATCTACCAAACTTATTAAAAACCTAGCGATTTTTTGTGTCAAAGGCTTAGACCTAATTTGAGTCGCTGCACCACTGAAGTCATTTTATTCGTAATGTGACATTTCATCTAAGGTTCAAAAACTATAGAAATGCTATTAGTAGTTTTGCTAGGGTTTTAACTATAGGGGGTTCCTAATCTTTATGTCCTAGACTGATCTCTATAATTTCACGGATGCTGTGGTATCCTCTAATAATTCGAGTTACCACCACAGCTAACAACGCCAAAATGGCATCAAATAGGCACAAAATATAACAGCTTATAGCCTGTCCAATATAGAGGTCATTGTCTAGATCACATTTAGGCTGCAAACTACGTCCAATATTGCGATTGAGTGATAAAAATATAATGCATTTATTAATTAAAAAATTATATATAAGTTTCTTAAATCCTGGCAGTTCCTATGAATGTACTTGATGAATCTTCCAAGACACATTAATGGTTATTTCCACTACGCGATCGCGCCAACTAAGAACGTCATTTCGACTGCGCCAGTGGAAATAAGGTTTAAATAGAAAGCACGCACTGTCACAAGCTCAGAGTAAATATACTAAAGACGGTAGAATGATTTTAATCTATTTCCATATTGTAACCTCATTTCTTTAGTTAATCTACTGCTATCCATAGACAAACCATAACTTTTTAATGCTATTTTTCCATACATCTGTCTTATTACTTTTTAAATACTAATCTTGTTAGATTTTCGGTCTTTATTTAATATTTACACAATGAAGTGAAATTTAGCTAAAAATCGGCCCGTAGAAATAAGAACGCTACAGTGCCTGTTATGAAAAAGCTGAGTTTCATATATAGGATGTCCCAAAAGGTTACGTACATAGGAAGGGGGATGATAGGGGTGGTCAAAAGGGTCACCAGAAAAATAAAATAAAAATTCCCCTCTGGGTATTAAAAAAAAAAATTGCATTTTTTAAAAACTTAAAAGTTTTACACCTTCTGTGGCAATTTTAATTTTCTTTAAAATCTTTGTTAGTTGTATTGTTTTTTTTATTTCATATTGATAAAGGGTTATTGACGATAACATAATAGCTTTTTTTTAAATATAGCAATATTTGTAGGTCATTGGTTACAAAATTGCCCCAGAAGGTGTAAAATTTTTAAGTTTTTAAAAAATGCCATTTATTTTTTTAATACCCAGAGGGAAATTTTTATTTTATTTTTCTGGTGACCCTTGTGACCACCCCTATCATCCCCCTTCCTATGTACGTAACCTTTTGGGACACCCTGTATACAAAACATTTGGAAATTTTCTTCTACCTTCTTTAATTTTGATATATAGAATTATATTTTCTTATCATTTTAATAAACATGACGCTGTCAATGAATTTCTCATATCATAAGTGGTAATTTTAAGGTACGCGTATATTTGTATGGATGGACGCAGCGCTATGTAAAATCATACAAACCAAAGTACGTTGCGTGCCGCGCGTGAGACACGTACCTTTATGTTGACTTCTTTATATTTAATCCTAAATAGTAAGCAAAATTATTATCAAAAATTCAAAATAAATACATAAATTTCGCTGATTTTGAACCTTGGAATTTTCATTAATAATATTCAATTCCATATACCAGTGCTTCCCAAGCTTTTATATATATATCATAGACATAAAACGTTTATCTAGACTTTGTGTTTAATTTTAAATTATTTCTGTGTTTCTTATTTTTTCTAAATTTGATGCAGCAATTTTGAAATTATGTGTACTATTAGAATACGTAATATGAAAACTGATATATAAACACGTCTAAACACTCACGTATATACGTCCGGTGGCGGCACCGACTAGTGAGCGACGGGCCGCGTCCGCGTAATAATACCAGTACCACTCATTCTGATGAAGGGCCCCCGATGGGCTCGAAACTAGTCGGTGCCGCCACCGGACGTATATACGTGAGTGTTTAGCCGTGTTTATATATCAGTTTACGTAATATGAAGTTAGAAAAAGGTTGGGAACCACTGTTGAATTAAGCTTTAAATTCGCAAATATTTTATGACATAGTTGCTCAAATTTGTCCCCGTTGTAATTGCATATCATTTAACCTAATATTAAAACATATCTTGTAATAATTTTAATATCCATTCCTGTTTTAGGTGTGTTTTTTTACCAAGTTTTTTCAAGAACCAAAAGTATGCAGCCAGTTATATAAAACTTTTATAATTAATTTATAAGTATTTTAGATAAGTTTAGAGATTTCTGTATCGAAGATTGCTAAGTTACAGAAACTCTTATGCACTGATCTCTATAAAGAGATAGGCGGTTACTTGGTAAGATTTAAATGCGTTTATTGATGTGACAGTAAATTATTATCAGTTCAAATCTACACCACCGCTGTAAACCACAACAATCAGCGCCAAAATGGCGGAATTCAAATAGGCACAAAATACTTAATCTTAATCCATTAGTGTATAAAGTTTATTAGCGCCTTTTTCATTATGATCACTGTTATATATTTTTAATCAATATGAAAGTTTAGATTTTATAGCACGTACGATAAATCGCTTCCCGGAATGTCATACCAACAGTATTACCACTTCAAATATGTATTACACTACTGTTTAAAAAATAAACGTTTAGTAAAATGTTTATAACTCCTAAAAAAACAATTTTATTGGCGTCCGATTTATCGAACGTTATGCATTAATGGATTAATGTCAGTCCATTTATAGAGATCAGTGCTTGTATTTAATAATGACGTATTTATTTCGATTTTTATTTTTTTTAAGGTACAGATTAAAAAACCTACTCTTTTATACCAAAACAGTGTGACCAGTCTATTGTATTGTAAAATTACTAGATCTGACAGAATTGTAAGCAAATTTTCAATTTAGTTTTGTAAATATTTTTATGTGTTTTTAAACGTCTCGAATGTAGATAGAGACCTGGAGTAAAAAAAATATTAACATTTAACAAATATCTCGAGTTTGACGCAATTATTTTACCAATATTGTTAGAGATATCTTTATAAATGCATAAGTTTTCGATTTTGTAAAGAAAAAACAGAACCACTGCAAGAATTCGGACATTGTTTTTTCTTAATTTTAAATTTCAAATTCTACGTTGACATTTAAAGACGCGACTCAATATAATTATGTGATATGACTTTCGTTTGTTTTGATTTTTTTTTAATGATTATTATTTTGTGTCCGGTCATAATAGATCGTCACGTCTAGTCGTTAGTAATTTATTTATTTTTTTTTGTTCACTGATAAAAAGTTCATTCTTTGGAAAATGTTTGGAGGTTAGGTTAAGTTTTCAATTAAAAATGATTATCAAACTTATTTTATTGTTTTTTTTCCCCTTATTTTCTTTAATATAGACTAAGTTTTACTGTGCTGACCCTCCGTAGGGATAAGCAGGTTGATGATAATGGTACTGAGTATTTAATAATTAAAATCTGTATGATTTAATTTTGTTTTTTGGAAATTATATTTAAGTACGAATTACTAATAAAATGATGAAATATGAATAATATTTTTCGATCTTACCTAAAGAAAAAGTTAAATTTATGTTTAAGTTGATTATCGATAAAACACGAATAAAATGACATTTTCTAAAAATGATTCCTAGCTAGATCGATTTATCGCCCCCGAAACCCCCTATATAATAAATTTTATGAAAATCGTTGGAGCCGATTCCGAGATTCCAATTATATATATATATATATATATATATACAAAAATTGCTCATTTAAAGATAAAGAGTAAACAAAATATTTTATTGCATTCACCTGTCAGCGCAGAAGAAAGCGTATAACATGTCCGCATGCATTAGCTACCTTCCCTTTAAAATCTCGTCAAAATAAATTCGGCCCAGGCGTTTAATGCTGCCTTGCAGACAGATTGTTAGACAAAAATTTTAATAATTCACTTTTTTTATATTATGAGGTGGCAAGCGAGCGAGCGGCCACCTGAAATCGCTGAAATAGCGAAGTGACCGTTGCCTTTAAACGACGGAGGAAAGGATGCACAGAAAGAAAATATTTTCCCTTTCCATGCATCCTCTCGTCCGGAAAGTCCACTTCCGCTTCCCATCCTCTCATAAGAAAAAGAGTGGGAAGGGAAACGGGACTAAATTAGGCCTCCGGGACACACACTCAGCCGAAACGCGGAATTGCTTCCACTTGACGCCTGTCTTCTGTATGGTCGTGGTATTTCACCGGGCGAGCCGGGACAATTTGTGCGAAGATGTTAAAGCGGGCTATACCACTGTTAAACTTGGTCAACCTATAGAGTTAGATCATTAAATGGGAAACGACGTTTTTAACACAATATTTCTATCAGTGAGAATGAGAAAAGGTTTTTATTGAAAACTTTTCTAATCTGTGTCAAATTAACTTGTAGGCGCTTTAAAAATCAATTTGTTCTCTTGATGGTAGAAAACTTAACTGAGAAAAGAACAGTTATCGAAATAATGAAATAATAGAATTATATTTTTTATTTCATAATCTTTTTCTTAAATTATATTTTTAAAATTAAACAGATAATAAAATCTTCCTTTCAAATTAAAACGAATGTCTGTGATAGTCTGTGAAAACTGTCAAAATAGTTTTGCTTATAGCAAGAAATTAGAAGCGCCGAAAGCGTTAGTAGATTTAGGATTTAGTTACGCAGATCTCAACTTTAATCCATTACAATAAAGTTCAAAATAGAAGTAATTTTTACAGTAGATATGATTTTTATAACTGGTAACACTCGGCGCTGTAGCGTCAGATGAATGGATCTTTTCTGTTATTATTATAAACGGAGTATAACCTTTTATTCTTACGTTTCGCTTTTATTTTACTCAACAAACTATACAAATTCAGTTAAAATAGATCCAAATCTTGTGTTTCTGTGTTATATTTCTATATTTATAACGTTTTGCGTCACAAAAGGTGGGTTGTTCAGTCAAAACATTGAAATTTATTGTTAACTTAATTATACCAAACGATGTACTCGTGAAGTTTTTACTGGCATGTGCAGTTATTTTATGAGACAGCTCTAATTGTTTCGTTACTTTTATAATTTAATGCGCCATTTTGTGATCGGCGTAGCATTTTCGTATTGTGTATGTGAAATTTAAACTATCTATTTCATTATAAAACATTATAACTGAATTTGAAAAGTAACGTAAGTATTTATATGAAAAAATATTATATATTTTTACGATGCTTTAGTACTATCAAATTATTTTATATTCGGTTTTTGTGTCGTTGTTTTTAAAAATGTTAGATCTAATTTAATTCGTAAATAAAAAATTTGATAGTACGAAAAACTTTTTTATACATCCGTAGAGTTTTTACGTAATTACCGTTAAGTTAGTTTTACATTATTTTGTGGTTAAATCATTTGTTTTAAATGAAGTCATCATTGTTTGGTTGTATAAAATAGTTTATATGTGTTCAAGATTATATTTCTCAGTAAAATTCTATTCTTTTTGATCCTATTGTAAATAAGCTATGCAAAGATTCACAACAAATGTTTTAATGATATATACTTCAATTCTATTTACTTAATACATAACCTATTACTGTGGTAACAATGAAGTAAATAACAAAATACCTACCTTAGTATGTAATTTTAATGCAAAAAAACTGAACATCTCTAGATTTGGAAAGACAAAAAGTTAATAATAACATGAAATTAAACATATTTAATGATAAAAATCATAGAATAACAGTAGTAGAGTCTGCAATAACACTGTTTGTGTAAATGGGCTTTGATTGGTGAAATATGTTAACTACACAGAAGACAGTTGTCGAATGAAAATAATTCCATGTTCCTCACAAGTGTGGATGTCAAAGGCCTTAATTTAATCTTCTTTCCACCCTTTTCTTAAAAGGAAGGGATGGAAAGGGGAGGTGGATTGAGTGTAAGAGTAGTAGATATTGTTGTGTTATGAAATGTAAGCAAATAATATCTGCAATTGTAGTTAATGGGTTAATTCTGTGCCTGCCCCTGTAATGTAAATACTGGGTAAGCAAAAATGGGATAAACAAAAGTAATCTCCTGTATCAACAATTTTCAGCGGGAAATTCATGTTAGATAGAATCATCATCATGATCATCATCAGCTCACTGTACGTCCCCACCGAGGGGCTCGGAGCCTACCCTAAGTTAAGGGTGATAAGGCCATAGTCAACCAAGCCATAGTAGATAGAATAATCTTTAACATTTTCTTATTTTATTTAACTGTATCTAATAGCTTATTTTAATTTCCAGATGTTCTGTATACAAGAAACGGAACCATCACATTCTGATCCATTCTCGAAAGACAAAGATCCATTAGGCATGGCGATATCGGAATCAAGTGATGATGAACCAGACGCGAAAAGACCGAAATACACAAACTCCTCGTTAAACCTCAAAGTATACCAAATACCAACATTCAACCCACCAAAATCATTATCAATATATCCAACATCTCAAAGTATATTACCTAAGTTTGTTAATAATCCACTAAATTTAGCAAATCCACTAGCAATTGCGACTAGTAATCTACAGGCTACTAATATGGTGAAAAGTTTACATAGCAGGTATTCATTGCCTGCGAAATTAACTATAACTCCAGTTCACAAACCCACTGACGGTGAGATTATAAGATATAAGAAGAATGGTGAAATAGCAAAGAAACGAGGACCTCCGAAAGGATATAAGAGGAAACCTAAAGTTGATCTTTCTCAAAGTCTAAGTAATGGAGCGCTTTTACAGGTAAATATATTATCATCAACATCGTCAGCTCACTATACATCCCCACCGAGGGGCTCGGAGCCTACCCTAAGTTAAGGGTGACTAGACCATAGTCAACCACGCTGACCAAGTGCGGGTTGACTTCACACATATCTTTGAATTTCTTCTTAGATATGTGCAGCATCACGATGTTTTCCTTCACCGTAACATCGGATAAATGTACATATGTAAATCGGAAATAGAAAAACATATTGGTACATGACGGGATTCGAACCCAAGACATGCAGATTGCAAGTCAAGTGCTTGACCCTTGAGCCATTGACGCTTACTGTTTCTGGCTGTTTCTATCTAGCTGTTATTAATATATTTTTAACTAATTTAATATTAACTGTCATGCGCGACTCTGTCCTTGCTGGACTAGCCTAGTAGCATATGTGTTCTACCAGACTATGTTCTATATGTATGACAAATTTCAATGAGATCTACGCAGCCGTTCTGATACCTTCTAACATCCATCTAAACATTCGCATTTATAATATTAGTATTATTAAATAGTTTAATTGTTTCAGGCACAAAATACAATCTTGACAAGTCTTCTTGCAGCGACCAATCCAACATTCACCACCACAGTGACGACATCAGTAACTAAAGTGGTGCAACCACAAATATCGCAAATTAAAATACCATCAGGTAAGTGAAATTCCCAGCTTCAGTCAGAACTAAGTCAGGACTCAGTCAAACACAGACATAGAGCGCCTGGCATAAGGGTGCTCGACCGCAGATTCGGATATATTTAACAGTGGTAGAGCCCGTTTTAACATCTTCGCAGGAATTGTCCCGGCTCACCCGGTGAAATACCACGACCACACAGAAGACACGCCTCAAGTGGAAGCTATTCCAACTACAGTCTGATGAGTGTGCGTCCCGGAGGTCTCATTTAGTCCTCTTTCCCTTCACACCCTCTTTCTTATAAGGAAAGGATGGGAAGTGGAAGTGAAATTTCAGGATGAGAGGATGCATGGAAAGGGAAGATATTTTCTTTCTGTGCATCTCCTCCGTCGATTAAAGGTAGGCAACGCATATGCAATTGCGTATGTCTATGGGCAAAGGTCACTTCGCTATTTTAGCGATTTCAGTTCAGCGATCTCGTTTGCCACCTTATGATATAAAAAAAAAGCTTAGCAAACCCATCCCTGTCCCGTCCCAAGAAAAATAATTCAATATTGTTCTGATTACAGGTGTGGAAGTGGTAGAACTAGATTTAGATCCTGAAGACTGGTTTCCAGCAGAACCCTACAGAATGGTGTTTAGTAGAAAGAAGAATCCTAAATGGAAGAACTTTCCTTACAGATGTGAACATTGTTTTAAGGTTAGTAAGGTGTTTATTTTACTACTGAGATTTAAAAACAAATTTAGTAGCCTATTTTGTTTGTTCTTGTATACTTATGAGGTCCTGGTACTTATATCTATATATCAAATAGAATTTATCCGTTAATCTGCGTGGAGTTAAAAAAAAAAAACTTAATTAGTAGTCAATGTGTTAGTACTTATGAAGTCCTGGTACTTCTCTTTACCTATAATAATATCAAACTAGCTGTCGCCTGCGACTCCGTCTACGCGGAATTAAAAAAAATACTTAATTTAGTCTATGTGTTAATTCTTGTATACTTATGGAGTCCTGGTACTTCTCTTTACCTTTATTTGTATCAAAAAGCGTTTACCCGCGATTTCGTCTGCGTAAAATTAAAAAAAAACTTAATTAGTACTAGCCTATGTGTTAGTTCTTGTATACTTATGAAGTCCTGGTACTTCTCTTTACCTATATTTATATCAAACTAGCTGTCGCCCGCGACTATGTTGTACTTCCAGACTATATATAGATGCCAAATTTTATCTAGATCCGTTCGGCTGTTCTGGAGATGTCTTCAAACATCCATCCATCCATCTAAACATTCGTATTTATAATATTAGTAAGAAGTAAGATTTCAGTAAGATCCATGCAGCAGTTCTGGAGATACCTTCAAACATCCATCATTAATTCCAGGGTTACCGAGTGGTATCAACATTACTGACACACGCGGCGGAACGTCACGGGTCAGTTCCCCGCGAGCTGGCCATCCCCTGTCCCTGCTGTCCTCATGTCTCCACACGTCGCAAGCACCACAAGAAACACCTCGAGACACATGAAGGCAGACGGCACAGGATATTCTGTTTATATTGTCTACCACCACGTGAGTATTCATTCAGTCGTTATGTCATTCACTCAGTTCAGTCGCATCATTCACTTAGAGCAGTCGTTGAGTCATAAAATTGCTCTGTTGTACCGTTATTTGCTTAGCTTAGTTTTTGTGTCATTCGCTCACCTCAGTCGTCTTGTTATACATTCAGCTCATGCAGAGGCTTAAACGCTCATTTTCGATATAATATTTCGCAGTGGGTTTCTTAAACTCAAATTTCTAAATCATATTGTCTATATCTTTGAAAAAACAGATGTTTAAATATAGATTTAGGGCTTAGAAACCTCAGTTTAGCTTATTCATACAGTAGTTCACTCAATCAGATGTATTACAGTTCCAAAGAAAGTTAAGCTAAGTTCTATAATAACAACACATTATTCAAATAGCTTTTGCCCGTTACTTCGTCTGCGCAGAATTAAAAATAACTTAACTAGTATATATGTTCTTCCAGGCTGGTTCTAAATATATGATAAACTAGCTGTCGCCCGCGACTCCGTCTTTGCGAAATTAAAAAAAACACTTAATAAGTAGTCTATGTGTTCTTCCAGACTATGTTCTATATGTATGACAAATTTCATCAAGATCTGTGTAGCTGTTCTGGAGATATCTTCAAACAAACATCTAAACATTCGCATTTATAATATTAGTTAATATATAATTTTCAGATGATTCATCTGAGCCTTATGTTAAAGAGGCTGAGAAGTACCCTTTCGACAAATATCCACAGTTCTGGTACGCGTCTGAGGAATCTTTAAGGTTACATAAAAAGAGGAAACATCCATACGCAGCCATGTTTAACTACAATTGGTTCTCTTCATGGGGAGAAGGTACACCGAATAGTTAGTTTTATACCTATTTCTACTAATTTTAAAATATATTTTTATACTGGCAACTTTATTAAATCTATAGTTTTAATGGCAATCAACTATAATAACGTCGGTGGCTTAGGAATCAACTTGATTTGCAATCTGCAGTTCCTGGGTTCGAATTCCATGTACCAATGTGTTTTTCCATTTCTGATTTACATATGTATATTTATCCGATGTTATGATGAAGGAAAATATGGTGATGCTGCACATATCTGAGAAATTCAAAGATATGTGTGAAGTCACTGCACTTGGCCAGCGTGGTTGACTATGTCCTAATCACCTTTAACTTAGGGTAGGCTCCGAGCCCCTCAGTGGGGATGTAGTGAGCTGATGATGATAAATCAACTATAAATTTTGGTAGTTTTATCCTGGCAACTTTATAATTTTTTATAATGGCAACTTTTTAGAGTTGATAGTATTTTAATACGGTCAATCTTGTAATTTTTTTTTATGTTGGCCATTTTTTGCCATCTAAAAATCTATTTTAATAATTATACTGGCAACACTATAGAAATTACTAGAAATATAAATCAATGAGGTAAATAAATTGTTTAAGGCCAGTTTTTTTGAATATTTTTTTTTTATTAAAATGAATTCTTGAATCGTACTTATAATATTTAGTGTTGCTAGAGTAAAATCACAATATTTTGTATATATACGTTTTAAATTAGCTTAAATAGTAATAAAATGCACTGAATTTGAGATGTGCCTTGTAATTGGTAATGTTTTTAATATGAATTAAAAAAAAACATTCCATAATTGTTTCTATACAATATCGAAATTATCGTGTCTATTTAAGATAGATTAGTTTGACATTTCTAGATATCGGGTTGAGTGAAATCGATTAAGAATTTTATCGATTTTCGATGTCTGTTCTCATAGAACTTGCAATCGTAAATTACGGGATTATTGTTTTTAAATTATAATATAAATAAAATTGTTTCTTTCTATTCCTACTTTATCCTTCATAACTATATAAAGAAATAAAACATTAAACAAAAAATTGTGATGTTGACGAACAGGTTTTTTTTTATTAATTGTGCGATAAATAGTTAAATAATTATAATAAATTCAAAAAATGTATAAAATAACTAAATCACATTACTCATTTGTTGGATTAATTTTATAACAGAAGAGATATTCTCGATAGTTCGTTACTATGACAACCGTACATTAAGTACAACATTAATTCTCATACAAAATTAATTAGATATTTTATACACAAGTCACTTGTCTAACTTATCTATCTTAAATACGACACACTATAGATGAAACGTCAAAATGGCGACTAATAAATAACATTTATTTTACGTAAATTTTGATATAAAATTTAAATAATATTGTAAAATATATATATATAGTTAATGTATTTTTGAGAAAAACTATTTTTCTGAATAATATTTTTGGATTTAAACTGTAGTTTGTCTATGGAATATTTCGCGTTTGATATCAAACGAAAATATTAAATTCATTCGATTTTTTTAAACCACTAAAATAATGTGTTTAATTAAATATATTTATTAGCTATGTTAAAGCAATAATTACGTATTTATAATTCAGACGAATATTTCGTGGGTATGACAGACGAATTTATACACATTTTTTGACAGGTCATGTCAAACTGTCAAAATGACATGATTTTTGGCGGGAAAAAAAAATCGAATTAATAATGGAAAGAATTAATAGAATACACACACAAACGCGGACAGTAGAGTATATTAAAAAAAATAATAATAGTCTTGTTTGTCGTTAGAAAAGAAATTGTTCGCTAATTTTTTTTTTATTTATTTATTGAATAAGAAAACCATTAGCGTGTTGAAATTTAAACATTAACATTCAGTGCATATAAAACACAGCAATAATAATAGGTTTTCCAGTAAATTAAGTTTAAATAATATCAAAGTTAATTCTGATAGTCTATGATTAAGGTTAAGCGTCAATAGCCTAATGGTTAATGGTACGGATTTCCGATCACAAGGTCGGGGATTCGAATCCTGCCATTCGACTATTGTTAACCATATCCTAGCACAAGCTTACAGCTTATTTGGAATGGTAAAAGAGATATTAGTAAATTTACAAAAAAAAATCTGGTTATATTTTTAAAAAACGAAAAAAAAATGATAGAGACTATAATTATATTTTCAAGACGCAAAATAAAGTATTATCGTGCCATTTTATTTGATATACGATATTTTATCTTATATTTTAAAATAATATATTAAATCAATACGAGATTGGATGTCAAAGAATTTTCTCGATGGAACAAGATTTTATGCACGCTTTTAAAACATAATTTTTAGTTAATTTTGTCTTTTTGACATTTATTTATAGTAATAATTTATAGAATATCCCTTTTTAACGCGTAAAATAAAATTCGATTCACGATCAAATTTAGTCGCCATTTTTTTAAGTTATAAAAAATACTAAGATATATATTATTAATCGTCTGAGCTGAATTAAAAAATCTAGTAACAAATAAAGCCTATGTTACTGAAGCGTCGGTGGCTCAGTGGTCAACTTGACTTGCAATCTGCAGGTCCTGGGTTCGAATTCCATGTAACAATGTGTTTTTCCATTTCCTATTTACATATGTACATTTATCTGATGTTATGATGAAGGAAAACATTGTGATGCTGCACATATCTGAGATATATCAAAGACATGTGTAGTCACTGCACTTGGTCAGCGTGGTTGACTATGGCCTAATCACCCTTAACTTAGGGTAGGCTCCGAGCATCTCGGTGAGGACGTATAGTGAGCTGATGATGATGATGTTACTCAAAGATAATAGCTTTTGAGTGGCAAAAGAAATTTCTAAATCAGTGCAGTAGTTTTTGAGTTTATTAGTTACGTACAAAAATACAATTTCCTTTTTATAATATTAGTATAAATTAATATAGTAAATTCGTATGTCATACCTACTTTATACAAACAAGGCTAATGCTGTAACATTACTATGCGCACACAATAACATGATACATATATAAAACCTATTTTAACAGAAAATGACATAAAACTAAAGAGGGTCTTGTGACTTTTGACGTTGACAGGAGGGCGCTAGTGTGCTGTAATTTAGTTTGACTTATGCCCACATATTTAGTCCTTGTCATCTTTTTTGACAATTTACAATATGATATTGTATCGTAATTGGGGATTAATTTTTTGTATGATGACGTCATGTTATCATGTTATTGCGGTGGTGTAGTACTAATTTTTATATGCCATTTTTAGCTATACTTATACCGAGATTAATCTATAGTTGTAAATAATTTAGTTTTTAATAACACTCGCGTACAAAAATAATTAAAAAAAAATCGATACCAGTATTTTTATACAACTTTTAATGCATTTACTTAGGCTATGTCGAGGTTTAACAATAGACCAAATGTTAACAGTATTAATAATGTAGGAATTTAAGCACTAAGTAACATATATAATGACATCTGATCCGGTGAGGGGCGCTAGTGTCGCGGTGATTCAATCAAAAAATATTTAAAGGTTAAACACTTTACTTGCAATCTGCAAGACCTGGGTTAGATTCCCGCCATGTACTAATGTTTTTTTTTCAATCATATATATTTATCTAGCTTACGATGAAGGAAAACATCGTGATGCTGATCGTGAACTGGGTCAGTATTCACTATGACCTATCTTAGGGTAGACTCCGAGACCCTCAGTGGGGATGTATAGTGAGCTGATGATATAGGCTTAGGAATTTACATAAAAACTGACAAGACAGCATTACTGTGTGACTTCTTATTGTTAGGTCATAATTTTGTCTTTCTGTGCATCCTCTCCTCCGTCGATTAAAGGTAGGCAACGCATATGCAATTGCGTATGTCTATGGGCAACGGTCACTTCGCTATTTCAGCGATTTCAGGTGGCCGCTCGCTCGTTTGCCACCTTATGATAAAAAAAGGTTGTTATGAGCCATCGTAATTTAGTTTGACTTAAATCGGGTAATATTTATATAAATATATATTTAATCCATAGTTTATGTTATAAATTATTTTGAAGCTATATTCGTATAAAAAACGATATAAAAGAAAAAAATATGACGACAAACTAAAGTATAATAAAATCTTTGTTATATTTTTGACGTTGATAGAGTGGCGCTAGTGTGCTGTCTGTATTTTAGTTTGATTTTTATCCACCGGGTCAGATTTGTTGGATTGAAGCATTTGTTAACTTGAGGCAGTCTATGGTCTCGTGGATCGTACCATAGAGAATGTAAGACTTGACGATAATACTCTAATTATTGTTAGTAAACTGTAACCCTCCAAATAAACTATTATATGAATTTTTGTATTAGTATTGTGTAAATACATTTTTTATTATTAAACGTATTGTTGTTTTTTTTCACTTACCTTTTTTTTCTAATTGATCTGAATTTTTTTTAAACATGAAATATGACGGTAGATAGAAAAATTGCAATGGGTGGGTAGGACAAAAAAATACATAATTCGATATAAAACAGTAATCTATCTATTATTTTATTAAAAAACTTAAAATAAATATTTACAATGTAATTAAAATTATAGTGATATTAATAATAAAAATTATGTTAGAAATTATTTATAGCTTATCACAATATTGTATAATAAATCCGTTAATTTACAAACTTGTCAATAGTACGGACATATATTTGACTAAAACATCAATAGTAAAGAAGCTCAATTGACAACGGGTCGCTAGTTATGATTCGTTAATTAGACAGTAGAAGATCGTCCTTCGTATAGGTTGGTGGTCGAAGTTATCACTCCGATAATAGTAATTAAATTAGTGATAATTTTACGCTTAAAGTAGTTTTGACTTAGTTTTATGCTTTTTCTCTACAAAATCATAGTAATTAATACATACATAAGTAATATTAAATGGAGAAAAACAAACTAACAGTGTTTTAAAAATATTAAGCTTATATTTCGTGTTTTATTTGACATTAGTTCAAGACGCCATCTTGGCGGCAGCGGCCGCGGCGGCTGCTGCAGCTTTCTTCTTGACAGCGAGTGCTGTACGCTGCTTGGCTTGGATCTTTGCCTTTTGACTCTTTGATAGTTTCCTTTTCTTATTCGCCTCATTTACAGCTGCTAAAAGTTGGTAAGTAATATATTTGTTTTTTTTTTTTAAATTTAAATTCGGACTTTAATAAAAACAATTCCGAAAATTGATAAATAGTATATCAGCTTAAAATACGACTCTATAATTTTATATTCAAAATAAAAAAGAACAAGGGAAAGACTAACCTAGAAATTAAGTTTGACATTAGTTTGTGGCTGAATTTTAATTGTATAATTTGTTTTACGACTTTAAAGTGACATCTATATATGGACAGGCTATAAGACATAGTATTTTGTGCCTTTTTGATTTTCACCATTATGGCGCTGATGGTAACGGTTTGTAGCTGTGGTGAGGATTAGAACTAATAATATCGATAGATTAAATGTCAAGTAACATCAAGAGGAATCGAAACCTGTTATTTTCAAGCAATTCCTTTTTTATTTATAGAGATAAGTGTTTTAAAGTGAAAGAAATTAAAAGACATATCGATAATAAGATCAAATTGAACATTTTTTTTACATTAATGGATCAATTTAAAGGATTGACGATTCTTACCAGCTGACATGGCGTGCCTGTTGGCGGCTGTGCGCGCAAGTTCGCCGAGCGTGTTCGCGAGCGCGGCACCAAACCGCGAGCAATCTGAACGAACGGCGGAGTGCGCACGAAGCGCTAAAGTCGCTAATCTGAAATGAATACTCATATTACTCATAATACTCTTAATACTAATATTATAAAGAGATTTTGTTTGCATTGAATAGGCTCCGAAACTATTGAACCGATTTGAAAAATTCTTATACTGTTTTGAAGCTACACTATTCCCGGGTGATATAGACTAGATCTTTTTGAATTCTGCGCTAAACCATCCAAATTATGTAGTCTGAAAAAAATGTTACCTATTAATAAACTATAGGTCTATAAAAATGCTTTTTTTAGTAGTTACCTTCCAGCCAGATCCTGTTGATCTGTGTCCAGGTCGCAGGTTACTGTGGTCGTGTTCTTTCCCTTCACAGTGACGGCCATCTGAGACCAACGAAACTGTATGACACATATAGGATTATGCAAACATCGACAAGAATAGAGTACTCTTGAACATTTCTCTTGTTATTAAGTTTTGTATTTAAAATCAAACTAAAAATTGCTATATTACTCCAAAAATACATTGTTTTAACTCTTTGAATGCAGCTGATTGTTAATATTGATATCGACATGGTTATAAAAGACTGTTTTAACGTTAAATATGCATCACCTGTCCAGCACTTTTATTTGGTTGCATTCCGACTTACGCATAATCATTCATTGTGGTTGATATAAAGGGTAATTTAAACACTGTTAAAAAAATTTACGGTTATATTCTTAGATTTTAACAGTTCACAAATAGCTATAATATCTACAGTTAAAATTACAAAGTTCAAACTCAGTCGATCTTTGTCGAAGTCTTTCCATGTCATTACAATTTTTACGCATGCAAGTGAAAGCTCCGGAGAAGTGTCGCCCGCGACTCCGTCCGCGTGGATGTACAAAAAAACTTAATAAGTGTAGCCCACCCATCCATCCATCCACTACACATCCATCTAAACATTTGCATTTATAATATTAGTAAGTTAAATAAAAAGCAGCTCTTTAAGGCATAAATTAACTAGTATCCTATGTCCGTCTCCTGGCTCTTAGCTACCTCCTCAACAATTTTCAGGCATATCGGTAAAGCTGTTCTTGAGTTATAAATAGTGTAACTAACACCACTTTCTTTTATATATATAGATTTGTTAACTTACCTTAAAGCTCTGTGGACATATACCGAAGAGATATCTCTCGAGTGTTATTTTAAACTCGTCAGCAAATACCAGCGCGGCTCCATCACTTAACTGTGAATAAATACATTTGTTATGACACTATATAATAATATTAGAAGAATGGAAACGCTGCACGAATTAGCTTCTCCCAGTGCGAAACCACGAACACACAGAAGACATGCCTCAAGTATTCCGCGTTTCATCTGATGAGTGTGTGTGCTGGAGGTCTAATTTTAGTCTTTTTTTATGTTAGGAATAAAATCCGACACTGTACCGGTGTATCACAACACTAGTATTAAAATGTCAACGTTTATGTCCCCTCACTAATCATTCTGACACTTGACTTTGTAACGAAAGCGATTCGCGCCAAATGATTCAAATTTATAATGTCTAAAACTTTTAAGGATGGGGAAGCGGATTGATGGATACGCATTGGAAGAGGAAATATTCTTTTTCTGTGCGTCTCCCTTGTCGATTTAAGGTAGGCAATGAATCTGTCATTTTTAAAGTCAATCGCTAGCAGTCGCTTTGACGTTTCGGCGCGTTTATGCCGATTACTCATTTGCCATTTTGTACTTTTTTAAAATGTGTATACTTCTAAATTCATTACTAATGTTATATTTACTTTTAGTCTGCGCATCCCGGATTTAAAATGTAAACGCGTATCTGTTTTGCATCGTAAAATTAATGTAACAGACATGTAAATTCTAGTTTATCAATATCTGTTCAAGGTCAACTAACGTTGGATGTATGTATAGCTAGTTGTCGTCCGTTCGCGTGGAATTAAAAAAAATACTTAGTCTATGTCTCCTTCCAGAATGTTCTACATCTATGCCAAATTTTAACGAGATACATGCAGTCGTTCTGTAGATACCTTCTAACAAACATCCTTCTAAAGATTCGCATTTCGACCAAGAATTTTAGTCTCTATTTTTTCTCTGTTTCAATAATGTTTTGCGACACGAGGAATACGACCTCCTCCAACTAATTATGATGGGCAAAATCGCAGAAAAAAGACGCGCTGGACGAAGAAAGAAATCGTGGCTGCGAAATATCAAGGAATGGACGAATATTAGGGAACGTACCCATACTACGAGACCCGTTTAGGGGGTGGGGTGTCTTTGAAATACTACGGTCAGACACAGGAGCGGGGTAGGCTCAGATTTTAGTCACGTAGTCGTTAGTTGTTTTTTTTTTATAATACATAATTCACTAGTAATTTAAGAATGCATGCAGTCTTATGCTATAAAGAAGACTATGAGCCAAATTATTTTTTTCAATGTTTGCCTGTGAAATGATTAAAAATCATAATGTTGAATTACTATGTAAAAACTAAAGGGCCCCCCCCCCTTTAGTAGTTAGTTTTGGCATGTACTACGAGTGGTCACCGAAGTGAGGGAGGGGTCGAAAAAACTAAAAAAACTAGGTCCCGTAGTATAGGTATGTTCCCTTACCAGGGTGGAACATTTATTTCGCTTGGCACAAGATCGGCCAAAGTTCACTGAGCTGATAGCCAACCTCCATTAAATGGAGAGGCACCTTGAGAGAGAGATTTCAATAATAAATTTCTTTAACAAGATATAACGTTAGAATAGAAAACATCTCTTACAATAACCTAAAAAAATAATCGATTTTATACACACGGAAACATAAATAACACCAATCGTTAACTATTATCCATTTTAAATAATATATTAATTGTTATTATCGATATCCATTAAATCTATATTTTGGAATCATTCCAGTTCGTTTTACGCACTCGAAAATTTGGCGCAAATGTACGTGAGTCAGCAAAGATACAGAACAATTCAAACTTTAAAGCAGTTAGGAATATACAGAACTTTAATTTTATATCATAAGGTGGCAAACGAGCGAGCGGCCACCTGAAATCGCTGATATAGAGAAGTGACCGTTGCCCATAGACATACGCAATTGCATATGCGTTGCCTACCTTTAATCGACGGAGGAGAGGATGCACAGAAAGAAAATATTTTCTCTTTCCATGCATCCTCACTTCCAGAAAGTCCACTTCTACTTCCTATCCTTTCTTTATAAGAAAAAGGGTGGTAAGGGAAGGGGACTAAGTAAAGCCTCCGGGACGCACAATCATCAGACGAAACGCGGAATTGGTTCCACTTCACGCCTGTCTTCTGTGTGGTTGTGGTATTTCATCGGATGAGCCAATTCGTGCGAATATGTTAAAGCTCGCTCTACCACTGTCACTATACCTGTATCTTACTAATATTATAAATGCGCGCGGAAGAAGTTACGGGCCGCAGCTAATGTTCTATAAATGGGATAAATCATAGCTTGGATATGCCAGCTTCTCTTTTGTTCCGAATAAGATGCGCTTGTGGAAGTTTCTGATAGTTAAGTTTATTATTATTTCGTATCCTCACCACGCCTACTAACTGTAACCATCAGCGTCAAAATGAAATAGGCACAAAATACTAATGTTTAAAGCGTCGGTGGCTCAGGAGTCGAGCACTTGACTTGCAATCTGCAGGTCCTGAGTTCGAATTCCACCATGTACCAATGTATCTTTCTATTTCCGATTTACATATGTACATTAATCCGATGTTACTGTGAAGGAAAACATCGTGATGCTGCACATATCTGAGAAGAAATTCAAAGATATGTGTTAGTCACACCTGACTTAGGGTAGGCTCTGAGCTCCTCGGTGGGGACGTATAGTGAGCTGATAATGAATACTTGAACAGACAACCTTTAATGCCTATAACCTTTAATATATTTAAAATACGTTTTAAACATGTATGCACCAGTAGCTTTTGACTAAAACTGTAAAAAAAAATCTTCAATGTTTGCAGAACAGAATTCTAAATTTAAAATTTTCAATCGTGAATTACAAGAAAATGGCTGTTTATATTTTGTATTGCATTTGCAAAATACTACAAAAGCTTGTCTGCGATGCGCTCGAATACGTTTAGTAATCGTGTGTTTATTTCTCCAGGTGATGTAGTAACGGTGCGTTCTGAAACCTCTGGCGATACGCCAAGAACAAGATTATTATTTATATCCAGATTCATAAGTGCGAGTTTACTTCGCAGACGGCAATAAAAGATATCCTCGATTTATGTTGATAAATAAATTGAATGCGATGATTTCTGAACGCATCTGTCATGATCGTTTCGTTATTTGACAGGTGATTATGAATGATTTAATTGCAGTGTTGCTATAAATGGAAACTTCCTTACATTTGGGTAATTTAAAAATGGAACACGAAAGAAAATCATATGTTTTTGTTGATTTCGAGAACAGAACGGATTTCTTACAATGGAAGAGTAAATTGAAAACAGCAAAACGGCAACTAAAATGCGTTTATTTCGTTGTTTAAATACTAATATTAAAATTTTTAACAATATTTACATTAGTAAATTCATCAAGATTTATTCGCGATTACATCTCGTTGTTCCACTTTTAACTTTTAATATAATTAAAAAAGGCAAAGGTTTATTGTCCAGTATGCCACCTCTTTGGCAGAATGTTTCATTCTGTACGCAACTGAGACTTTTCGTACTGAAGAAAAAAAATGTCTATTATTTTTAGTCTGCTTATTTTATACATGAATTTATTCTCTGTACCCATGTTTATAGAATCAGTTCATGGAGGTGCTATAAATCGTTTTATTGTTGCGTTTTAGGATGTCATTAAACGAAAGATGTTTATGTTTGACACAGCGCGACAGCTTCCTCGCAATTTGTCATTGGAATTTATGTCGAATGTTTACGTAATACATGACTTTATTTCACTTACGGCTGTCGATTTATGATCGCAAATACGATTTTAGTAACACAGTTGAACATAATCCTAATGTTTTGTTACAGCAGTTTCGCAATGCTTTAATCATGTTCCATAGACTTTTAGAACTTTGTTACTTTTATGAAAGATACTACTTGTCGCCCCCGACTCCGTCCGTGCGATATAAAAAAAACATAATTAACAGCCTACGTGTTCCTTCAGGCTATGTCCTATATCTAAATTTCAGCAAGATACCTTCAGCCGTTCTGAAGATGCCTTGTAACAAACATCCATCCATCCTTCTGAACATTCGCATTTTAGTATATGTTTTTATATCATAAGGTGGCAAACGAGCAAGCGGCTACTTGAATTCGTAATTCCTTAATAATAGAACGATCTCTGCCCATTGACATCAGCCATTGCAGATACGTCGCCTACTATGAATCGGTACTTAATTGTTTTTTTTAAACTAAATTCAGACGTTAAACGCGACTAAGCGACCTTGTTTCATAACTTGAGATTATATTTAACATGAAAAAAGCGGGAAATATAGATTATTTTAGCGCTTTTTATCGCGGGCAGACGATATTATAGTTTCTGTAATAAATTAGACTCGGTGGATGACTTTATGACTGTCAGAATAGTCCACTTTGTGTAGAGGATTTTGATTATGAGAGTCTTGTCGTGTAGACGATGCCAAGATGTGTATTAGGGTGTGTCCACAGTACCTAGAATGTTGATTGTTATGATTATTAGCCTACTGACTCAGGAGGGTGTTTTTCAATAACTTTAAACTTAAACTTTTAATATGTAAATAGGTTTGTATGTATGTAGTATGTTAGTTATGTTGTGACTTAATGTAGTCTAAATAGTTGAATCTATTTTAACGAGTGAAGTGTCATTGTATGCGTATTTTTCCAGAGTCACTTTGGGGTAAAGTCGGGTTTATTTGTTTTTAAATTAACATATAAAGATATAATTTATAAACAATTAAATAAGAAAATATGCTACGACTAAGATGGAATCATTACCATATCGTCTTATTTTTTGACGAAAGATATATAAAATAAGTTGATTTTAATATAGTCGTTTGTCTTTCTATTTAAATGTTTTAAACACTACAATTTGTAGTCTTGTTGCTAAATATTATTATTTCATTTATAAATTGTTATGATCGACCGACGTAAAGTAGATGTATTGCTCTATTACCGACATTGTGTGGGCTACGAGTGAATCACCAAAAGATTTCGTTATTATTTTACAAGCAAAAAATGAAAAATACAAAAACATATTCTCACCCCATTCATTCTTTATAATAAAAATACGAGACGACAATAATTATGTTTAATGCAAACGCAATGTTTTTGTGTCATACGGTATAACTTAACCAATTATAAAGGGAACGAGCAAGCCGCAGCAGAAAGATGGTAATTGCCGTTCCTATGCGTCCCTTCACCTAAACAGGTTTTTCAAATTTAGAACAAAAATATTATAAAAAAGTTTTTCTTTTTTTTTCGTTAATGTGAAACACCACAAAAGCCACCTGTCATCGCATATTATTGTGGGAAATTAAACTATCAAAATCTAGCAACACTTGTCTTATAAGTTTTGCCAAAAGTACGTGCGTCACTACACGCAGTTTTTATTCTGTTAAATAATAAAAATGTATTTTTAAGTTTTTTTATTGTCCATGACATAAATGTGAAATACACATTAGTAGATAACCTAAATAATATATTGTTCAACATTCGTTCCAATATTCGAGTTTTAATAAATGAAAAAGACGGAGAAAATACGTAAGAAGTTATGACGACCTTGTAATAATTTATTTGGTCAAACGGACGGTTATTTTAAAAGTGTACGTGCATTGATTAGTGGTGTTTACACAAGAATATATGAAGGTGTTATAATTTTTAGACAAACTTAGTAACGTATAGATCAAGTCTAGAAAACTACAGTTATTATTGAAAAAGACTATAGATTAATTCTTTGTATCCTTTAGTAGCAGATCGATATGTGAATTTTGGATTGAAAAATTGGTTCCGTTTTCATCGACCGGGAAAGAACATGTCAGTTAAGTAAAGAAGTGCCTAGGATATTAAATTGAACAGATAATATAGATAAAATTATATTTTATCTTACCTTTGGTGTACTTTTCGTTTCTGGTAGATGAGTTTTATTATCTTGTGACAACTTCGCCTCGGTCATCCATAAAAAAATTAATAATAACAACACACTACATTTTCGTCCATTTTTTTTCTTAAATGCCATTTTATTTTAATACTAATTAATAATATTCTTCAAATTATATTGTAATAAATATAATTATTTGAATTTTTTATTCGCGCGTTTCTTTTTCGTAATTTTAAACGTGAAATTGGCGGGAAATATCAGTTGTCAAACCCGAATGGCGGGCTCCAGTGAACTGGAAATGTAAAAGCACAGACCAGCACAGACTGCAAGACGGTATTTATTTTTAGATTTTATCGAAGGAACAGAATTAACAAAATCCACGTCACTTGAAAACAGTATATTAGTTTAAAAGCATTTCAACACGTTTCCGAACTGAACATTGATTGACAAATGACTTTAGTTTTTCTTTTCATCTATTTTTTTAATGAAGATATAGAGAAAAAGGTTAGTGTTGGATTCGATCAGATTCGATGGTTTTAAATAAACACTGGCAATTATGTATTTTACGTGTGTTTTTTCTTAATGGCTTTCCGTGATTTTTACTTATGTTGATTTTACTAAGTGCAAAGTATTGTTACTAATTATTTTTTAATATTGAACATTAAAGATTACGTTTAGAAACTTAAAATCCGATTTCAGAAATATGAATACAAAACTCAAACACGGGGATAGCAAACCTTTACGCATCAACGTATCATTTTACTAAATACTTAATAATTTTATTTTAAGTAACTGTCGTCTGCGACTACGTCCGCAGGTATTGAAAAAAAAAACTTTAAGTTCCCGCAATTATTCCTATTTTGTCACCTTCATAGACCTCCACGAACATTTCAAGACCAAGATAAATAAATCTTTTCACTCGTTCTCGAGTTTTAGTGAAACTAACTACATATTTATATATATATATATATATATATATATATATATATATATATATATATATATATATATATATATATATATATATATATATATATATATATATATGCCCGAAACATTGTGTTTCGTGCCATTGGTTCGCCATACCTTAACATATATCCCTTTCTGTTCTAAAATTATTTTGAAAGCTATTGCTATTTACGTATTTATGTTTTGTGTTTTAGGAGTTTTTTATTACACGCCTTTTTCAAGTTCAAGCGCGCTAGACTGTTGTGTTTATTGTTTCACTAGAATTTACTATACGTTACAGTACGAACAATTTTGTTTATTTTTTCTAAACGTTGTATATTCCGAATTACGCATGGAATCATTTTTGTATTTGTGTTTTTTTGTAGTGGAATGAAACTATCTCGAATCTATTATATTTTTTGACACTTGTATTTATATTCTTTTACCTATTGTTTTAAAAAGAATGTTAGTGTTTGTACAACGACCTCTGAAAGTTTCCGCCGCAGAGGAGTTGTACTGTATTGCAATTGTTGTTAATCAATAACACTTTCTATTCTCAATGTTATTTAATCTTCTACATTCATCAACAGCATTGCAAGACAATTGCATCAAATCAAATATATATATATATTATGTCGCAAACTATAATATAAACAATTTCAAACTATAAAACAAAATTAATATAACAACTACATTTTTCACTATTTTAATTATTATATAATTTTTTCACACTTTCTTTTTCTATATTTTTCGCGGCGTCGCATTACCGGCCAGTACGACCTCCTTGGCCGCTTACAAACTCGCCCGCGCTACCAAGGAGGTTCGATACCTTCAGTGCGCGTTATACAGTGTTTTTGACACTAACTGGGAGGCATAAGTTTTTAGTTACCAGGTAAATTCCTTAAATCTTTCGAAATTTTTCCATGTTGAATAATAAGCAAATTTGTGTAAGCCGTTTATTATAATACCTGGAAGACCGAGCTTTGCTCGGTACTTTTTTTTTAATTTTGTTTGTTGGAAATTATATTTAATAAGTACGAATTAATAATAAAATGATGAAATATGAATAATATTTTTCGATCTTACCGATAGAAAAAGTTATGTTTGTTTAAGTTGAGGCGATTCGTTGCTCGTTTGCCCGCTTCTCCTATATAAAAAAAAAGTTGATTATCGATAAAACACGAATAAAATGACATTTTCTAAAAATGATTCCTAGCTAGATCGATTTATCGCCCCCGAAACCCCCTATATACTAAATTTTATGAAAATCTTTGGAGCCGATTCCGAGATTCCAATTATATATTAACACTAGCGGACCTGACAGACGTTGTCCTGTCTACACGTCTTTAATTCGAATATTATTTAAAATTTGACACTGCGATGGTAGCGCCCTCTGTCGGATCCAATGTAAAACATTCCAAAATCAACAACTACTAATAAATTAATAATTAATTAAAAAAACATTGTCCAGCGGACAAAATTGTGAATCTAAACCATTCCCAGATCCCCTTGAACACACACAAAAAATTTCATCAAAATCGCTCCAGTCGTTTGAGAGAAGTTCAGTGACATACACACTCACAGAAGAATTATATATATAAAAATTATTATACAAGAATTGCTCATTTAAAGATATAAGATTTTAATCACTCTATATTTAGGTACGTTACTAATAGAAAGAGCTAATTAAATATTTATAATATTCACGTATCAATTGTTAACATTAAGAACATGTGTCGACCGCAAAATAATAAAATGAACATCATTGCAGCTATTTTAGAAATCTAGTTTTTACAACTCCGTAAACAAATCTATAAACTTGAAAGAAATTAAGGAATTTTATCGTAAAATAAAAACTATAATATAAAGCAATAGCTCTTGCGGAGTAAAGCCACATGTTTTGACAGAGGTATGTTTGATAGAAAACAGAAGTGCGCGGGAAAGCACTTCAAAATGGCGGAAAAAGTTTTAGTTGGTATTGGACGGATTTATTTCTTATTTGTTATTTACGAGAAGATCTTATCTTAGTTTTTTTAAAGGAAAGAAGCAACTAATCAAGACATGTGTTTGCATTTTCAGCGCCATGGGTAAGATTTTTTGGTAATATTCAAAAAATTGGCTATTTTAGAAGACACGATAGTCGCCCCTTTATACCCAATTCTGGATCCTACAGCGCCCTTTTATGCTTGGTGCCCTGGGCTATCGTTCTAACTTCATCCTAACCTAACGCTATTGCAAATCTTTATACAATTGGGATTTGGATAGGGCAAGATGGATCGATTGCAGAGAGATCACACGATTAAGTAGGGAATGGCGACTTTAGTGCGGTCCAACACAGAGTGGGATAAGCAAAGAAAGATGATTTGTTATTTAGTAATCTGATGATACAGATGCAAAATGCAGGAGTCGTATTTTTTTGTCTGTGAACTCAAAATATTCCTAAAAAGTATAGCTGGTATAAAAATGTTGCCATAAACAAAAATCTATTCTATTATTTGCGGACGTTAATAGATCCCGTGGGATGTAAAGCCGACTGGAGTTATACGCGTCGTGGGCGAGTTTTATTTATAAATATAACGATAGTAACATGAACGAATCTGCAGCGAATATTATGATTGTTCACTTGTTTACTTGCATTTGTTAGTTGTTCACGATAAACTAAAGATAATTTGAAAAGGGTAAAGATGGGAAGTGTAGGATTTAGCGGTAGAAGGGACTCATGGAAATATCCTTACTGTGAGATTAAAGACAGAACAATTGTAGAGTTTTCGAGTTTAATTGTCAAGTGTCAGAATGATTAGTGAGGGGACATAAACGTCGACATTTTAGTACGGCTAGTGTTGTGTTACTACATCGGCCAAGTGTCGGATTTTCAATTCAAATTCAAGGTGGTTAGACAAAGTGCATTCGCTCCTAAGCGGTTCCATAACGAACTTCGTCCCCACCGAGGGGCTCGGAGTCTACCCTAAGTAAAGGGTGATTAGGCCATAGTCAACCACGCTGGACAAGTGCGGGTTGACTTCACACATATCTTTGAATTACTTCTCAGATATGTGCAGCATCACAATGTTTTCTTTCACCGTAAGAAAGTCAGATAAATGTACATATGTAAATGGGAAATGGAAAAACACATTGGTACATGGCGGGATTCGAACCCAGGACCTGCAGATTGCAAGTCAAGTGCTTGACCACTGAGCCACCGACGCTCCTGATGATGACTCAACTTATCGTATTCCACTAACCCCTAGTAAATGTTGCCACCTCATAGAAGACATTCGTGCTAGTGGAAATGGGGTTTAAAAGCATAACAAACGAAAATTTCTATTTCCATGTAACCATGTATTTGCACAACGAAAATTTTTTTTTAAACTGCATATAGGATTTAAATAAAAGTCATATTTTATGATCTAAATTTCTTTAAATAAACATAATTAAAAACTTGATGGAATAATATCACCATTGGAAATGTATTTAACATTTTTTTTTAACAACGGCAACATTAAACAAGATGGCATCCACTATTGTCTTATAACTGTTTATCCACAGCTTATTTCTTGGCTGCGACCATTTCTTCCAAAGCTTTGAGTTCAGCTGAAAAAAAAAAAACATGTCACATGACTTGTCTGTAAGTAGGTTTTATATGCTACCTGTCACCCATGAATCCGTCAATGCGGGATTTAAAACTTAATAAACCTATGTGTTCTTCCAGACTATGTTCTACATATATGCTAAATTTCATCGAAATCAGTTCCATCCAGATACCTTCAAACATCCATCCACTTTCATATAATATTAGTAAGATATGATATCTGACTGGCCCAAATAAGCTTCTTCCACTATATCTATGTTAGAGACAAAACCTGCGAGCCTAGTATTTCCTCGCAGCTTACTACTTGTTAAATCAGACAGACAAATAATGCACTTTACATTTCATATTGCCTAGTGACATGCAACATGAAAGGCCAATTATAACTCTTTGTATATAAATTGATAAGATCTGCGTTACGGTCTACTGATATCCTTCAGAGGTTAATCCATAATTCCACAAAATACTTAAAAACATACCTGCAGCAGCAATAGCTTTCTCCTCCTTAAGTTTTGCGTCTCTGATCACCTTTTCTTTGGCTTCAATCTCACGGAACTTGGCTTCCTTCTTTGAAAGCCTGTTCTGATGGAAAGCGCCGTATAAGATACCGGCAGTTAAGAATGACCAGCGCCCGAACTGAAAAATATTAAAACATAACTGTAAATAATCTTTAGTTAACAAAATTTCATTCCTTTTGTTTTATTAAGATCGTATTTTGTTCGTTCACTTTTGCATAGTCATTGGAAGACAATTTTGAAGTTTAAATTTGAAAAAAGAACTTTTTTTTTATCTAATGGTGTATGGAAGAATTTGATTGGCAAGTAATTTCTATCAATGTCTACATAACAGCATTGAATATGAATAATAAATTGAAGGAAATGAGATTTTTTGAAGGAGCAATATGAAGGGAATTTAAAACGAAAGAAATTAACAAGGGTACATAACACTACATGTTACATAATAATATATTGAAAAATAATAGTATATTTACCCGAATCAAGGGCGATACCCTAACTGGAGGTCCATAAGGAAGGTCAGACATTTTCCACTATTACCTAAGGAAACTTCTTGTATTAAAAGATATTTTTTAATTAAAATCTCCAGATGATCTCCGCAGAGGTTATAATACAGTAGTGTTGCCAATAATTAAGATTGTAGAAACATCTATTTGTTTTACCGCTTATTTATTTCATGTGTATCACATAGTTTTTCATGTTAATCAGTTTACTGTTTTTTTTTAATTTCAAAAGGATTTTATGTTAATTGGGCTTTTAAATTTAATGGTATTGAGAATTGGAATTATTTTTTTCTATTCTGGTAATCACAATATGACAAATAGAAATCGTGCTCGTTTGATGTTTGACGTCATATCTTTTATAGGCATGTTCCATGAACAACGAGTTTCTTAACTGCTATTTTAACCGTTATCATCTCGTAACGTTAAAATTTTTTTCAAACACAAATAATTTGGTTTCGAAGAAATTTATTTTATTGCATTCATTTAAGATAACATTTTATACATTTAGCGAAAACAGCAGGCCAAAGATCTAATTTGCATGTAACTAAAATAGAAATAGAGTGTATCTCATTATTCTTTGCGTTACGCTATTATCCCATTTGAGATTATCACCATCAATATGACCTTCTCCCTCAGGAGTGTTGGCACACTGTAAATGGAATAAGATATTTAAAAGTAGGAAATAAAACAGTGCCATTACACATTTAAAAATAGCATTCCAAAATAAGTGAGAAAAATATGTAAATGTTTAAATAGCGATAACAATACTGTAAGAAATAGCTGTTTTAAGTTATAACGGTATCTAATCAAATAGTTAAAATACGAAATATCGAATAAATCAGTCGTCAAAATGGCGTTGATTATGCCGTTCGTGTCTGTTGCAGTTTCAATACTTTACACGCCGTTTTTACTTTTTATATTGTGTATTATATTCCTGGCCTCAATCGGAAAATCTCTTGGTGTACGGAGATTATATGTGAATATACTATTGAAGCTATTCGAAGTAAGTCAAGTGAAAATAAATTAACTATATTTAACATTTTTAATCAAATATGTTAGGTTAGACTAATTTCTATTCATATAATTAAGCTTTAGCTTTTTATCTTTTGTGTGTAGGATCAATGTCCGTTATTTTTATATATTATATTTATTTAATTAAGATGTAAATGATCTTTCGTGGGAGTATATTTTGATTAATACCGGTGACTCACGTCAACCGATCTTAGATTTTGTTAGACGTAATATTTTTATTGCTTACATTAGTGTGTCTATAACGTTATATTATAAACGACGCATATAAACAAATTAAAATTCCCTTTGCCTCATTCTTGTCGAGGATCCTAGTTATTTTGTGTACACATTCCATCTAGAGTTTACGGTTGACGGTCGAATTTTCGTAGCCCTATGTATCTTTTTCTACTAAATTATATTAGGCCAGCCTTTATCTTCATATGTAGTGTCTATAGTTCAGCAATAAAACATTCCCAAGGTTAAATTTGAAGCAAATTAATTTTTTTGTCAAATCTGGATAAGCAAGAAAAAAATATGGTCCCTTGGACTCTAACTTATCCAGGTTAAGGTATTTATGATTGAATTTAAATATAAGAAAACAAATGCCCGAAAGACTTCTTTGTTATCTTGTTATTAGGGAAAAGATAACTTTGACCTTCCTTGTATCAGGTCTTAGGTTCAATTTCAATGTTTATCTACATTTGTTAGGCTATTCCAATAATTATTCTATCAGACTTAAAGAGATCTTAAAAAAAACTTTTCTCATACAAACTTGTTAAATGGGTCCTATATTTGTGAAAAATTACATTATTGTAAGATTTTTCATCTTATTTTACTAATATTATAAATGTTGTTTTGATGGATGTTTGTTACAAGGTATCTCTAGAACAGCTCAATGGGATGTGATTAAATTTGGCATACATATAGAACATAGTTAGGAAGAATATATAGGCTACTTAAGTTTTTTTTTAATTACGCATGGACAGAGTTACAGGCAAAAGATAATAAACCTCTTTATAAGCTGGCTTCAAAAAGGAAGTTATCAGTTTGTCTGTATTTATTGTAAGAATAAAACAAAATTCACACCCATAACCCAGAGAAGTAGGCAGAGACTAGGGAATTCTATTTGGTGTGTTCCAGACACATGTCTCGCTACTTCAACATTCATACATCTAAACATACATTCACATCGTGTTTATTCTAGAAAATTCTATCATCAATAAAATTTATATTCACTATCAAGGTTATCAGCTAAGCAAAGTTTAAAGTATAGGTCAAAATGATTTATCTATCAACCGCTAACACATTGGATTAAATAAAACAAACACATTTCATATCATAATGTGGCAAACGAGCGAAAGGACACCTGAAATCGCTGATAGTGAAGTGACTGTTGCCCATAGACGTACACAATTGCATATGTATTGCCTACCTTTAAACGACGGAGGAGAGGATGCACAGAAAGAAAATGTTTTCCCTTTCCATGCATCCTCACATCTGGAAAGTTTACTTCCACTTTCCTTCTTTTCCTTATAAGAAAATGGCTGGGAAAGAAAAGAAGACTAAATTAGGCCTCTGGGATGCACACTCATCAGACGAAACGCGGAATTGCTTTCACTTGACACCTGTATGTATTTCACCGGGCGAGCCAGGATAATTAGTGCGGAGATGTTAAAGCAGGCTCTACCACTGTTGCATTATGGTTACTAAAGTGCTATATATAAATAGTTATTCGTCATCATCTTACATATATCTTCAATGATCAGAGGTCTACCCAAGTTTGTCTTTAATCTTACTAATATTATAAATGCGAATGTTTAGATTGATGTTTGTTTGAAGTTATCTCCGGAACAGCTCAATAGATATTGATGAAATTTGGCACAGATCTAGAATATAATTTGGAACACATAGACTACAAATTAAGTTTTTTTTTAATTCCGCCCCGACGGTGTTGCAATCAACCATTAGTAAATTGTATATGGGAAAGTATAAATGGATGGATGTTTTTAGAAGGTATCTTCGGTACGGTTCAATGGATCTTTATGAAATTTGGCATAGATGTAGAATGTAGTCTGAAACACATAGACTACTATTTTTTTTTTAATTGCATGCAGATGGAGATGTAGGCGATAGCTAGTTCATATGACCTTTGCTTAGTTGACTTTGACTTAGATAAGACGTGGTTTTCATTGAGTTATAGTAGATACCATTTTAGTACTACAATTTAATATACGTCCATACATACATATGTATATAATGCTCGGTGGCTCAGGGGTTAAGTACTTGACTTGTAATCTGCAGGTCCTGGGTTTGACGCGCCATGTACCAATGTTTTACATTTACACTAGCGGAACCGACAGACGTTGTCCTGTCTACACGTCTTTAATTCGAATAAATTAATATGAAGTTAATATTTGATGAAAATTGTGAATCTCAACCATTCCCAGATCCCCTTGAACACACACAAAAAATTTCATCAAAATCGCTCCAGTCGTTTGAGAGAAGTTCAGTGACATACACACTCACAGAAGAATTATATATATAAAGATGTGTACATTTGTCTGACTTTCTAACGGTGAAGGAAAACATTGTTAAGCTGCACATATCTGCGAAGGAATTCAGAGATATGTGTGCCTATTCATTAACTTGAGTAGGCTCCGAGACCCTCAGCGGGGACATATAGTGAGTCGATGATGATGACATCCAGACATTCACATTTATAATATTAGTTAGGTTATTTACGCATTAGTTACCTCCTCGTCCAAGTCCCGTCAAAATCGGTGCAGCAGTTTCACTGATTACTCGGAACAAATGCGACCTCGTCGACATCATCATCCGTGGTCTAGTCAAGTAAATTTCTCCACAATGGTCTACTTTCGGCTTTTTGCGTCCAATGCTGCTCTTAATACTAATATTTTTGAGGCCTTGTGGACAGTCAGACAAAATTTTTCAAAACTGTTTTTTAATTATTAGCAAGTACAATGTGTTGCTGACAGATACGGAACCTTTTTGCACGTTTTTTAATCATAATTTTCATGTTTTTGTCTTTGGATCTTTACATATTTTTTCTTCCTTTTTCTCTATATTTAACAGTGGTAGAGCGAGCTTTAACATCTTCGCACGAATTGTCCCGGCTCGCCCGGTGTAATACCACGACCACACAGAAGACATGTGTCAAGTGGAAGCTATTCCGCGTTTCGTCTGATGAGTGTGTATCCCGGAGGCCTTATATAGTCCTCTTTCTCTTCCCACCTTCTTTCTTATAAGGAAAGGATGGGAAGTGGAAGTGATATTTCCGGATGAGAGGATACATGGGAAGGGAAATATTTTCTTTCTGTGCATCCTCTCCTCCGTTGATTAAAGTTAGGCAACTCATATGCAATTGCGTATATCTATGGGCAACGGTCACTTCGCTACTGCAGGTGGCCGCTCGCTCGTTTACCACCTTCTGATATAAAAAAAAAAAAAGTTTCTGTTGCAAATATATCCTCTAACTGCGTGCTGATCTTTTAATTTCATTATTCTATTTTATATTATATTAATGTCATTTTGTCTTTTTATTTTATATATAAATTACAAAATTTATCTTAATTCAACCGCTCTTTCGATCCTCGTGTTTTCCGTCGTCTTTATCATGTTTATATAAATATGTTTTTTGTATTACATACAGACACTCTAATTTAATTAATGTGTATAGATTCTTGTAACATATAAATTAACTTACTTTAAAGTAGAGTAGAAAAAATATATAGCATAGATGAATCTTTTGTAACCAAATCAATTTAATTGAACCGATGGTGATTAGTGCTACAAAGTTATTTGGCTCGGTATGTAGAAGTGTTATGTATAATAGTCAGTGGTGGCGTTAGGGTAGGCGTATTTATGTTTTTTATATAAGGTGGCAAACGAGCGAGCGGCCACTTGAAATCGCTGAAATGGCGAAGTAACCGTTGCCCGTAGACATACGCAATTGTATATGCTTTGCCTACCTTTAATCGACGGAGAAGAGGATGCACAGAAATAAAATATTTTCCCTTTCATGCCCTTTCATGAGAGGATGCATGCCTCTCATACGACGTTCTTACGGTGAACAACCATCGTGATTCAACCTGCATATATCAGTGAAGAAATTCAATGATATGTGTGAAGTCAACCAACCCGCACTTGGCCAGCGTGGTTGCCTAATCACCCTTACCTTAGGGTAGAATCCGAGCCCCTCTGTGGTGACATATAGTGAGCTGATGATGATGATAAGACGTAGTATTTTGTTCCTATTTGATTTCCGCAATTTTGGCGCTGCTGGAAGCGGTATGTAGCGGTGGTGTGGATACGAAGTAATAATAAAGATAGAATTAATTGTCAAGTAACAGCTGTCATTTTCAAGTAATCGCCTGTACATATATAGAGATTATACTAAATTCTCGTCTAAGTGTAGCTGTTCTATGTCGTAACCGCGGTAATAACGCTCACCGGGACTGATAAGTTGGTCGCACTATACTTGTCTTTCTTTGTATATATTTTTTTAATTAATCCTATTTATAACCTAGAGTTACTAAGTATCAGTCTTGTTAAATGATAACATACAGACGGAATTATTAATTATTTCCTTAAACACGTGGTTAGATAGTGTAATGAATTATCTACTAGCTGTCGCCCGCGACTCCATCCGCTCGGGATTAAAAATAGATGTTAGCCGATTGTCAGAGCTACTCAATATGCTCACAAAATTTCACGAGAATCTGTCGAGCCGTTTCGGAGGAGTATGGGAACGAAAATTGTGACACGAGAATTTTATATATAAGGTTAGTTAGAATCCTTTGGCTCGAATGGCTTTCGTTACAAGTAAAGTGTCAGAATGATTAGTGATGGGGTAACGTCGATATTTAAGTAAGGCTAGTGTTGAGATACACCGGCAATGTCGGTTTTTCTTCCTAACAATATGTACGAAATTTGTTGCGACAGTCGACCACTAAGCGAGAAACTCGCGATCTC